TTTCATGTGAACAGGTGCATCGAAACTGCATCCTCTAGAAACTTCAGTCAGTGCATAAAGCCCTACTGTTGAAGGGCTTTATGTGCATAAAGCCTTTCCGGGGAAGCTCACCTGAATGGCTCAGAAGCCTTTATTGTGTGTTTGACACTGGTTAAATTAGTATGAAGGTGAAACTGTGGGTAGAAAAGATGAGGGCAGAGTGTGAAGGCTGAACCTTGTTTGCTCTTAGATTTTATGGGAATAAATATTATAGGTGCCTATCAGAGCAGGGACTGAACAACTGCTAATATCTATGTTGGTCCTCTGGTATTGATACTAGGTCTGTACCACCAGCAGAGGTCTGATATTGAAGAAACATCTCCTGATCAAGCAAAGCTAAGTAAGCTATGCCTGAGAGATGTGGAGGCAGGATGGAAGGCCCTATTCACAGAATTTGTTTCAGAACCCATTCCTGTTATGTGTTGTCTTTTTTGTTTCTCTTTCTTCTTCTCTATACTGTCCTTCACACTCTCATACTTGGTTTTCACAGTCAGTTCTTAACCTCTTCTGCTCACAGGACGTTGTTTGATACATTTGTTCTCTCTTGATGTCCCATCACTTGAACCTGATAACCCTGAATGAGACCAACCTGGCCCTGGAGATAATCTCCTCCCACCCCCCACCCACCCCCGCAACATTTGCAGGTGCGTCTCCAATGCACATACGTGTGATCTCCCCTCATAGGGGTCTTAATCAGAGCATTCAAGCTCCAATGGGCTCTGCCTTTCTTCCCAGTTTGGCCTTGATAGAGTTAGAGCAAACAATCATTAAGATTCAGTGATGATGTGTTTGTAAGGGTTTAGACCCAGAGATACAATTTAAAAAGAGCTTGTGTGCTCATATTTAAGGGTATTTGGAGAACTTCTATCAGAGAAACTGGGTCAATATCTTTAGATAAATATTTCCGGCTACCTGTAGGAGCTTTCTGTCACATCGCTTACACTGACTTCTCCACCAAGTTGGTATTCACAGTGTTACTTAACTCCATTTTTCCTTTAATTTGTCATTACTTTTAACTTTAAATCATTACTTTTGAGGAGGTCATTAAAGGCCAACCTCTAGGTTTCTACCCATCACTGTCCACATTCTTCCCCTACGGATAAGCTTCACTGATAGAGTGTGACTTCATGGTAACCTTTGGGGGTTGTCTGGTGTAGGAAGAGGAAACAACTGAAACATGAATTTCATGACAGATTTTGATGCTGAGATCACATTATTTTACTGGACCTTGGTCTGAAGGAATGATCAGACACTTAATTATCTAGTTGAGTTTAAGGTGTACATTTCATGTGACTTTTAAAATTACTGTTTTTGGAAAACTACAGAATCTTGAAATTTGTTGACCTGCCATTTCAAATGGCTTCTGTAGTATGAGATAGAGTATAAGATTTCCTTATGTGATTTAATTTTTGGACCTCAGGGGTTGAACACTGTTTGCTGGAGCTTGACTGCAGTCATGGCAAGCAAATTAGGGTCAGAAAATGGATCAAAATCATTTAGACCCCTTGCCATCACTTTCCATGATATCATCATCTTTCCTGTTCCCCAGGATGATTCAGTTATCAACTTCCTTTCCCATTGCCCTTATACGTAGGAGTCACAAAGTCCAATTGCTTATCCTTCTGGATTCTACTCTTTCCCTTTCCTCCTCATTGACATTGCTTTAGTTTAAGCCTTTATTGACTGTTTCTAAGATTATGGCATTAGTCGAACTGGTCATTATCTCTCTCCCCTGCAATTATCTCATAATTCACTGCCAAGTCAATTTTCCTAAATTTTCCATATAGTTAGCTTATGCCTTTGTTCAAAAAATCCCCCTTTGATTATTGAATCAAGTCCAAATTATTTAGCATAGAAGATAATGGCCCTTACCCACCCAATGCCAATAAGGTACTTTATATTGAATAGTTACGTCTTTCCAAGCAGCCCACACTCTTGAAACACCTGCCTCATTATCAATCTCCGATCAATTTTCTCTGTGTTTTCTCCTCTTGATAACTCTCCTTACACTCTCACTCACATGTGAAATGTTGGTTCTTCTCTGATTGCCATATCTAACTGTTGAAAGTATACTGATTCTCCAAACTTGTTTTCCTCCTTCAAAGGCAACTCCTCCCACACCCCAAGGAGAAATAAATCTCTGTGTTCTGTTTTCTTGAAGTACTTTATACCATTCCTTTTGTACTCTGTGGAAGTGGATTTGTTGATCTCTTCTAGACTTTAGTCTCATGCAGGGCAGAAGTGAGGTTTTCATAACTCTGGCATCACTTTCCCTTAGATTAAAGCTAGATATGGGCTGGCCGAGTGGCGCATTGGTTAGGAGTTGACTTGGGATGCCAGCTCTGAGCAGCAGGGCCCTGGTTCAGATCCCACATTAGAGCCAGTGATGCTGCGCCCTCTACAGCTAAGATGGTGAACAACAGCTCAACGTGGAGCTGGGCTGCCAAGAGTCACCTGTGAGGGCGTGGGCAGCCGTGAGTGGCCAGCAGCTGGCATGAGCTTTCGTGCCATGAGCTGCTGTGAGCCACCGTGAGCGGCCTTCCAATGGCTGGCGAGCGACTGCCTGACCTGGGAAGAGCTAATGATAATACCAACTTGGGCCAGTGAAGCAACGTCCTCCACAACTAGACTGAAGAACAACAACAACAAAAAAGAAGCTAGATACTTAGTTGGCCTTTGCTAAGAGTTTTGTTTTGAATTTGATTTTCATAGATTCACTGTGGGGAAAATGGAATTTAATCCAGACCATGAACTCAGTTTTTATGTATATAATGTATATAAAGCTACTGTGGTGAAAATGTATGATTGGCTTGGAGACTGATTACCCTGATTACATTGTTTTAAGTCAAAAGTTTAAATGTGATTTAATAAAGGATGTTTAAGAGATATCATTGTTGAAGGACATTAAGACTGTTTCTTCAAAAATTGGATGTACAAGCAATGCTTTTATGTATTCAAGCTTATCAACTGTAACAACTCTTATAGACACAAACTCTAAATGTATAGTAACACCAATGGTTGTTTGTCCAATATGCTGAAATGGGAAGTCTTTAACTATTTTGGTATATATACCTTATACCTTCATTATCTTCATTTCTTTTTAGAAATGAGCTCTATCGTGTGGTATATTTATGAGAGGTAAGACCACCAATGTGTCTTTCCATCTTCAACTATATTAACACATCTAACTGATGTGTCAGCTAGTCTGAGAACTAGGGTCACAGAAAATTGAGTATTAAAGTCATAAAAGTGCTATATTTAAAGAAAATCTCTTTCTTGTGATGTGTTGTTCCAAATTGTTCTTCTCTTGTTTTAAATGCTATAATGTTCAGAATTGATTCTCTTTGCACCTTGTAACAATATTTAGTTATCCTGTTTTCAGTTTAGAATAATGTGTGTCATTTTTCCATCACTACTTTCAGATAATATATATATATTTTTTTGGTAATGTTATTCATAATGAACCTGCTTTTCAGTCCCCATCACACATTTAACTATTTCTTTTGGGCACAGACCTTCCTTTGAAGCCAGTGGGAGATTTGTTCAAAGATAAATTATGTGGCAGGAAGGGAACCGTTTCCCACCTTCCTCTCTCTCTGACTCTTTCATCATGTGTAACAATGTTTTCCACCTCTGTAGATAAGGTCTTTTTTTTTAAATTTTCTATATTTAACATCAACACTAAATTCTGTTAAGCAGCATCAGCCATTCTTACCACATCCACCCAGATTAAAAGTGAGTCAAAGACAATTAGGTTACTCTGGCAGGAACTGTGACCCCACAAACTGATAATTTTTTATTGTATCTTCTAGTCCCTGTAGATGCAAACAATGTGTTCTCTTCTGCAAATATTAAGAGACAGATTAAGGCAATTTCCTTTTCACCTCCTTTTTTTTTTTTTTGACAATAGGATTTCTTTTCTTCCCCCCCTGCCCTCCTACATTATTTGTCCTTTGCTTGACTTGTTAGGGCTAGACAGCGGCTTGATGATATTCAGTTCTTACATGTAGTCACTGGATTTTATCCAACCCTTTTTTCTAGATGATTTGCCTAAAGTTGTAAAACTTCAGAAAAAGACACTCCGCAAATTCCCTTGATAATACATGCTAAGGTTGAATGGTCTTCCCTTTCGGGAAAGTGCCACCTCCGTTAGTCACTTGAAGAGTAATAACCAGGTTGTTCTTGTCTGGACATCTAAGGATGTCAGCTATGTCCTCCTTTAGATAATCGAAAGACTCACATCAGGTCAGTCCTCATGCTCTAGCCAAACCCTGTCATTCTTCCTGATTTCTTCTCTGAATCTTCTTCCTGATTTTTTCTCTGAATCTTCTTCAGATGTCCACAACCTATGAAAGGATAAATTGGGGCTTTCTTTATGCTAAAGTTATTTTTCATATTTAAGTTTTTTCTACATGAAATAAATCCAGTAAGGGAAGTTTGCTTTTCACCAATCAGTTAGTTCAGCTCTAGCTCCTCTAGGTAAAAAACTCAAGGACCAGGTAGAGATACTCCTGTGACAACTTTTAATAAAAGGACACTTTTAGCCCTTCAACTTGAATGTTTTCATATACATGAGATTGAATACTTGAGGACAGACAATATATCTCTCCTAAGTATTCAATTATAAATTACTGGTAAAGTGATTTAAAGAACCATTCCCTCCACCCTTTGCCAAGAGTAATTTTGTTTTGGAATCAATTTATTTCATTTGATATGTTTTGAATATTTTTTGTGTGTTCTTGAGAAAATCAAATACCCTGATTCTACCTAAATTCCTTCTCTGTAGAATAGAGCAGGTGAAGGGGATTGTCCCAAGTATTCCATGTAGTGTTGTTTTATCTCAGAGTTTTTGTAGATACCTAAATGATAAAATCTTTTTTTTTTTTTTTTGCTTTACACAATTATGTTTTAGTATTGAGGATTTTTTTCTTGTCAGAATATATTTCTAGCAATTTGGTAAAATGTTGTAAATCAGTCAGAGTCTTTAAAAAATTTGTCCTGCCAAGACTGTGAAATCCGTTCCTCCATATTCATTTTGACTTGATGGATGGATGACAAGCAGTAGGCAGCAGGATTGAGTACTAAATGATTCTTGTGTCAGGCTTCAGAAATCTTAGCATTTTAGCATTCTGATCTGTAGCAATGAAAAGGAGTAGGAAAAGAGCAAAAACAGGAATATGTATGAGAATTTGGTCTTAAGTCAGAAAATAGTAGCAAAGAATCATTTTTACTAGGAGGAATAGAAAAATAGTAAGGCTAGAGAGCTGGTATTTTTGATACCACTATGAACAAATAAACTGATTATTTTAAGTTTTATTAAAAAGTTACCTGTTACCTTTTCCTTCTGAAGGTTTTACAATGCATCGTAATCATTAACCAGCCTTTTACCATTACACATAAATGGCCAATTGAGACAAATAGTTCTGAGACCACTACCACTGATTAAGACTGGGGTGGCAGGTATTGGGGATAATACTCACTAGGTAAGAGAGACTTAGAATTGCCCATAACCTATTTCTGGTGTTATATCTGCTGAAACTTTAGAATTTGATAATTTGGGGTTAACGTTATTTTCTGGGTGGGAACTTTGTTTTTTTTTCACCTTGTCTTAAGGGGAAGAATCATCTGTTTATGTAGTAAAAAGCTATGGGAGGGGGTCTGTTGGTGCAACACTTCATAGGTTAGGACAGATAAGCAAAGAGTAACTTTGTTGATGTGTAAGCTAGTTTACAAATGCCAAATTCTGTAATTTTAAAGTCCACATGTTACATGTATAGATAGATAAATAGATAGATAGATATAGATATAGATATATATTTACCTGTTATCTTATGCCATATCGAAATTTTAGAGCTTAGTTGGAAGACCATAAAAATGATTGAAAGTGTAGAAGTCTGAATTTATGAGAAAAGATGAGAAAAAAGCAAAATGGGTTCTGATGGTGATCTTCCAGTAGAAGGTAGTGTGGTGCAGCAGGAAGAGCACTGGTCTGGGAAGTAGAAGGCCTCTGCCTCATTCTGCAGCTCCTCCCAATGATCACATGTCTCCAGGCAAGGTGCCTCAGTTCTTGGTGTCAAATTGTCCATATCAGGAAAATGAAGGCATTATATTGGGTGCTTATTAAGGTTCCTCTGCTCAAGCATTATGATGACTTCTCCTATAGCAGGAATATAGAATGAGAAAAAAAGTACAGAGTTTGTCTTGGTAAGAAAATAAATAAATAAATAAAGCATTTTTGCAACTTGGAATAAAACACAGAATTTAAGGACATTTATTCAATCTACGATGTTGGCATTTGGGTTCAATGCTTATCTTTCTTTCCTTCCCTTTGCAAAGCCCATTGTGTCTTGCTTATTCTTAGCAGTGTTCAAATACCAGCTGTAAAAAGAGAAAAGCAAGAATGTAAATAAAAAAATCAATGCCAAGTACAATTTCTTCTGGGGAGTTCACTGGTTTCCTCTCAGGCTGCCCTACATATATTTTTTTTAAATTTGGTTTGAATGCCAATTTTGTGTGTTTCTTTGTAAATCTTGTTAGGATTTTTGCAAAAAAGTGGAAAAAAGATGAAGAAAAAGTAAAACAGTTATAAGTAAATAAAATTAAGTGACTACCAGTACTTAAAAGCAAAATAACACAGAATTGCATTCCTTTCTGTGCCTAAATCCTTAAGGAGCCCATGGAATCAGGTAAATAATTAACTACTACTCACCTGAAGGATGACCAAAAGGGCCTCAGGGCTTGTTCAGCAAGGACTAGATGATCTTTTAAGTCCCATGACGTCCAAAGATTCCATGACATGATTCCTACCCTCAGGGAAATCACATTTCAAATGTGGAGGAAAAGGGAAATTTACACAAAGCCAAGGTGGTTCACTTGAAAATGACAAAAGCTATTTTTACCTCCCAGTGTGTCCCTAAACATTCCATACAAGTACACTGTTTTCCTGGGGTGTTCACTGATTGAGCTGGTTTTGGTTTTCCAATTGCTTGGGAGAGTGAACCATGTTCCAACAGCTAAACAATTAAGTAAAAGATAGTGATCAGTGAGCAAGGGATACAGTGGAGAGTGACAAATCTATAGTGCCATGCTCTTGTGAACTATTTATTCTTTAAGGGAATTGTTTTTGAAAAATTCAGAGGCACATGTATAATAAAGTCATCGGTTAGTGGTAATTGAAATAGAAATTAAAGTTAACTGTAGTGAACACCATTGCTCGTGTTATCCCTACATTTTAGAAAGACTTATTTTAAGAGCATCTATTTTTTAAAATCTACTTTAAAAGCCAGCTAGTAAACTGACTGTAAGTCAAGGGAAGGTGGGAGTCTATAGCCTGGCAAAAAAAACACCTTGAAGCCCCTGTTTCTGGGAGTCATCCCTTGGGCCTGTTTTCTGGAGTGAAGAGAGAAGGAAACACTCCCTATTTGGTTATGTATCAGTATATAATATGCACAGCATATTTTGCCAGGTGCATGAGTGAGACAAAATATGTGACACAAACACACTTTGCCTTATGATTGCTATTATTCAGGAAGATGAAATACAGTAGCATGAGAAAGACTAGGGAATGTTAACAATCTGCTTCCCAGGCAGTGAAAATATTGTCCTCCATGCTGATAATGGAGTTGAATATTGTATCAGAGACAGGAGCAACAGATCGATACAATCTGGCTTTTCCTTTGTTTAGTTCCTTAGCTTGTGGTTAGATGCCAGTGCTGTATTTTCCTGTCTCTGTTTCTCATTACTCCACACCTGCCCTGGGAAGCAGTTGATGCTTTCCTTCCAGTGCTTAGGCATGATCAGTGGGCTTCTTTAAGTTTGTAGTGAGCATTTTCATCAGTCCTGGCCAGTGATTACTGTCTCTCTCCAGAGACATCTCTCATACAGAAGTCATTTTCATTTTCTCCAGTGTTATGGAGAACACCGGGTGGTGCTGAAATTCTCCTTGTTACAGAGCTTATCTGTTCAAGTTGTACCACCAGAAGGAAAGACATAAAATGTTTCCTGTCCCCTTCCTGTAAAATGGCAGTTTCCCTTCCTTCTCTCTTTCCTGTAAAATGATAATGACTCCTTTCTCCGACACTGCTAACTTAAAGCACAGGTATTTTGGTGATTGTGTGCACTCTAGTGCTCCCCCTCCCCATCCCCAAGAATATTTAACATTTTATCATTTCCACTTTGTACTTGTTCTAGTTATTCTGCACAAAACAAATTGATCAGGGGCAATGGCTAGTTTTCCTTCCAGTGCACCCCTAAACAGGCCCAGTGTTTCTCCACCACCTTGCTGAGTGTCCCAGTGAATGAGCACGTGAAGTAACTTGAAACAAAATTCTTAATATCAGTAATTTTGTCTTCTTTGACTCCCTCTATGTTGCTCAGAAACCTCCATGTGACATCCAATCAATTGAAATATCTGCTCCAAAAATCATATTTATTTATTCGACATATATTTTTTACTAAGCCAACATGTTGTTGAAGCCTATGAGGGTGACAAATACATATATATATATATATATATATATATATATATATATATATATATATACACACACACACACACAAATCAAAGTTAATTGTAATGAACACCATTGCTTGTGTTATCTCTACATTTTAGAAAGACTTATTTTAAAAGCATGTATTTAAAAAAATCTACTCTAAAAGCCAGCTAGTAAACTGAAAACTGACTTTCTCTAAGTCAGGAAGTGGTGGGAGTCATTATATATATATATATATGGGTTGGCATCCTAATAGAAGCGTGGCCATGCAATAAATAACTAGGATATACAGTGATGTGTCAAGGACTGTATGAGTGGGACAAATACTAATTTGTATAGGAGTTTAGTAGAGGTAATGAGACATTCTGGCTGCTGTCATCAAGGAATGCTTCACAAAGGAAGTAGCATCGGAGCTCAAGCTGTTAACAATGAAGGGAATTTCAGTGAATGGAAATGGGAAGGGGGTTTTAGGAAGATGCAACAGTTCAAACAATGATGTAGAGGTATGGCAATGCTAGGTATATTCTCACGAGGAAGGCTATTACATCTTGAGGCCTCTAAATCAATTTATTTAGATTAAAAGTTAAGACTGGAAAGTTTGGTATAAACTAGATTGTGGGTGACGGTGAATGCAAGGCTAAGAAGTTTAAATTTAATTTGGTAGGCATGGAGTATGACATGATTAGATGGAAGAATTAGGCTGGGGAGACTGTATGTAGAGAGACGAGTTCCCTGCTATTGTGCTGTGTTGAGGGCTGAACCCGGGGCCTTAGCTTGGAAGATGCAGGTGGTCGTAGAAAGGAGGAGACAGATGTTGGACATTCTAGAGGCAGAAGTAACAAAACATGAGGTTCGGTTCAATAGAGAAAGAGAAGTCTGAGACAAATGAGATGGGAGGTTGCATTCTGCCTTACATGACTGGGTGTGTGAGTCCAGTTTCATGTGTGTACATGTTGGGGCACGGAGTGGACTAGTTTGGGAGCCGAGAGCCCTAACTGCACTTCTTCAATTCTGACACACATCTTCTTTGCACTTTACATTTCTGAAATTAGAATGCCTCTTACCATCTGTGGGCACATTTAATGTGGAAGTTTTTCTTGAAAAGTAGTTAATAAATTAGTGGTGTATATTGCAACTGATGGCACCTTATCATCAAACAAATAAAGTATAAAATGTAGATTATTATTGTATTAGGCTTTCCTTTCAAGCTTCAAATTATTTCATACTCATTATAATTAAGCCAATAAATCCAGTAAACATAAATTACATTTAAATATTAAAAACACAGTAAATATTATTCATCAAATAGCTACATTGCCCAAAGTTAAGAATCACTGAGAGAATAAATCAACTGCCAGAGCTTTGGGCAGATTATGAATGTATTCATCAAATGCTTACTGAACAGCTTTTATGAGAAAGTCATTCTTCCAAGTGCTAGAGGGATACAAAGACGAATGAGAAAATAATTCTGTCTTGGAGTGGGAGTGGGGTAGGTGAGTTCACAATTTATTAAGAAAAAAAAGACAGGTACACATAATTTTAACAAGGCAAAATGTGATTTATCATAAGAGAGATCCCCCAGATGTACGTTGGATGCTCTGGGGAGGTGACGCTCATATCTGCTTAGGGATATCAGGCAACGCTTCATGAAGGATGTGATATTTAAGTTAGACTGGGGAGAATGTGTATAGATAGATCTATAGATAGATAGATCTATAGACCTATAGATAGAGGTGGAGTAGGTAAATCCAGGGGAACAATGTGTTATGGACAAAGGTAAGAGGTTGGAAAGAACCACGTGTATTCAAGGAACGCAGCAGTCCAGGGTAGCTCGAGAACAGACTATGAGCAATCATAATAATGATTACAAGAAACATTTATTGAGCAATCACTGTGTGCTGAGTACTGTTATGTTTTACTTGATATGTAGTATAGTTGGTCCTGTTTTGCTGCTGAAGACAACGAAGCACAGATAGTTAACTGACTTGCCCAAGCTGAACCAGTTGACCTTACCCCTTTCACAAGCAGTACACATGTAAGGGCGCACACATAGGGATATGAAGGTATAAAAATGCTGGGCACAGGCCAGGGGAGGTGCTGCAAACCATGGGAAGGAGTCTGAAATTTATTCTGTAGCTGAAATTATAGTATTCTCTGGATTTAGAACACTATGTCACCAGTGTTTTCATGTATATAGTGGAATTGGATTATAATGGTCTTTAGAAACATGGCACCAGAAGAGTATAGGTTGTGTGTGTGGGAATTTAAAAACCCTTAAATTTTCATAAGACTTTATATTCTCAAAGACGTTTTTCAATTTCGATGTCATTTATTTTGATCTTCATAATGATGTGGCATTTTTCCCTGCATTGGGTATATTGGGAAACATACCCCAAACTGGCACTGACCTTGTTAAAGCCCTAGGGCTGGTAGGTGGTAGAGCTAGGGAAGGAAACACGACCTTCTGGAGTCTAGATCATTGCTGCTTTTACTCAACCTTCTCTTCTTTTCACTGGTCTTATCTCAACAATCCACTGTTTCCAATCAGAGATGTAAATGGACACATATATGGGAAATGATGGGTTTGCCCAACACTGGAAATCAGTACCCCTAAGTAGGATTTTCATCTAACAAGAGAAATGAGCCATTCTCCAGTTCACAATGG